CACACACACACACACACACACACACACACACACACACACACACACACACACATGAAAACAAACACAAGGATAGTGACAGACTGTTTCGTCGGACTCAGACCTACTCATCTGGAGGCTGAACCTTGGACGGTCACAATCTGCAGAATCGCTTCCCCTTCCACCCCCCCCCTCCCCACCTCTTTTTGGACCATTTCTTGATTTATGCATGTCATCCTTGCACACAGGGGTCATGATAATCTTCCTTCTCTGTATCGTTCCGAATTTAACGGGTGTCCCGAAGGACCTGCAGAACCCGAATTATTGATGTTTTTTTAGTCATGATCTCCTTCAACCCCTTCTGTAAGTGGATGGCCATCAGGTGACATCAGGATCAGCAAGGCAAGGGCAACTTGACATGGCAACTACCGTCTTCACCCGAATACAACGTACACCGGTCATTATTGCTGTATCTAGTAGAATCGGAGTTGGCCCAAATACTTCTATAATAATGACCGTAGGTTGTATTTGGGTGAAAAGGGTAGGTACTGAACAACAAGGAAGAGCTAATCGCATACGCTGTAGGGCACGAGGGACGCAGGTGGGCAGCAAGAGAACAAGGCAAGCGGCAGGGCAACAGTCTGAGAGCAGGCAACAAAGCAGCAACGCGCACGCGGAAACCTTTTCGGTTTTTGGGCGCCAGAAAAACCCGGGCCAGTACGATTGGGGGGTATTTTGATCCCATGCCGGGCCCTACCTAAGGCAGTTTTCCCTGGACCCTACCAGCCTACTGGCCCAACGTGGAATGAAGATATGCCCCGATCATTTTCCCTGGGCGCATAGCGCTGACCCATTTTTTTTCTGGCACCCAAAACCGAAAGGTTTCCCCGCGGGCGCTTGCCACCAATTAATATGATCCCCGTCCACACGTTCGCATACACATGTGCAATCATGACAAGTGACCTTTGGAGAGAGCAATCCACACCACATGCATAGCGGAAGCGCACAAATACCGAAAATGTTAAAATCAGACTAGTGATGAAAAAAACAATTTCATCACCGTCTCTCCCCAAGTCAATCAACAGCACCGATTGGTAATGGAAATCCCATTACCAATCGGTGCTGTTGATTGACTTCCTCTTCCTCCTCTTCCTCCTCCCATTACCAATCGGCCATAGCTGTGTACGTTATCAACACGCACAGACCAATTATCTACAACGTTTAATCGAAGTATCTGGGAGTCTTCTTCTTCCTCCCTCTTCCTCAAGCTCTAGCTAGCTATGGTGCTTGCAAGCACCCAACCTATCAAGCCTGCCAATCGCCACACACCCTCTTAAATCCGACACCCCTCTCTGCACCACTCACCAAGCCCACTGCAGATGAGGTGTCCACTTAGCAGCGGACCGGAGCTCCCAAGGATGACGAAGAAGAACACCAACTCGACGAAGGCTAAGGCCTGCGGAATCGAAGAAGACCAACAGAAGAGGCTGCTTCGTGGCAGCTGCATAACCCCAAGTTCCCAACAGCACACAGGAGAGGAGGCGCCTCACAGAGCCCAGGGTCTGATGCCCAGCACTGGCCCTAGTCAAGCTGCTCGGCCCCAGCTATGGCCGTCAGCTGTGTCTTCACGACGAAGTCCCGTGCGGCAGAGGGAATAGCACACCACACTTCAAAACGAAACCTCCCGCAGACTCGTGAAAAAAAAACGAGGCAACCAAAAGAACCCGGTTCCGATGGACCTCATGAGCCTATTTCTACTCAGAGCCTAGACCTAATGGACCCTCTACCGCGGAACAGACACTTGGGCCCACCAAAAGCAGCAGAAAAAGACAAAAAGACAAAAAGACAAGGCCTAAGGGAATGGTCGGGGACTATGCGAAAGAGAGGAGCCCCGCGAAGTGGAAGGTACAGGGATCGAGGCGCGCAGAGCTCAAAACATAGAAAACTACAAAACCAAACTACCGTCTTCAGCCGAACAGAATGCCCGGCCATTATCGCTGCATCTGGTCCGAGAGTTGGCCCAGATACAGCCATAATGACCGGGCGTTCTATTCGGGTGAAGACGGTCGTTAGAAGAGGGGTCCCATTAAGGGACAGGTCCAGGGATCAAGCCCAGTGGAGCTCAAAATATTACAAAATTAATCTCCCTTAGCTAGTTATACAGCCCGTCGGGAATCTGCAGTTTATTGCAGCCCTGCTGACAGTGTATGTATATTGTGTCGGCACTCAGCCTCGTCTGTAAGCCTTATATGTATATATATGTATTCCTACTGCATGTGGTCTGTCTATATATGTATTCCTACTGCATGTGGTCTGCACTCTGCCTCATCTCTAAGTCAGTATTTGTCGTCTATTCTCGGGATGCATGCACTCCACTGGCGCCGTAGTCAATGTTCTCAGACCTACCGTCTTCACCCCCGAATAGAAAGCCCCGGTCATTATAGCCGTATTTGGTGCACTTTTCCCTCCAGATACAGCTATAATAACCGGGCGTTCTATTCAGGTGAAGACGGCAGTACAAGTACAACCATTCATCGCCTGCCCTTGCCTACTCACAAACAACTGTGCCGCTTTCATTGGCTTTTCAAATTCGGGGCGCGACGGACATGCAGGTGCGTGTTTTTTTTTTGCCTGCCTATTCACAACCCATCGTGTTTTTTTCTTTCTTTCAATCATCGTTCCGTAGCCAGCCTTCTGCCTGATGGGTGGTAAGAGCCCCAGGAGGTAGAAGGTGGCTTTTGTTCGATGGCTCCATTCTATTCGTGGGGAGGTGCACCTGCTGGAAACCGGGTCCAGCGTCCCATACCAAGGTAAAAGTTCAGAAGGGACCACCCAACATGCAAAGTCCTATAATTCCTGATTTGGCTCCACGCGTGTCTAAGAACCTCTTCACCCTAAGGCGCCAGAACATGCCATAAAAAAACTAGTCTTATACACCTACTGTAATTAGATCCTCATAATTACCTGTTCAGGAGTCCTAGAGCAACTCCTATTTTCGAAAGATATCTGAAACAGAAACTGGGTTCACCTTGAAACTGTGACAATAATCTGAAGTTGACTACCTTACTCCGAAGAATATGGCCCCCTCCCCCATTCCTGAGACCCTGGTATCTACGGAGGCCGCGGGCCCATCAGCCATGGCTCCAGAATTATGCCGGAAGCTTTGGCCTTTAGAAACCTGACTTTCTGTCCCCAGGAATGGAAGAACCAATCCCTGTCTGCCCTCTTACAGTGCGCCCTTCTGGTACTTCTCCAATCCGACCAGATTAGTGAACGCACGTTGTCCAAAACCATGTCCATAATTCCTATGTCTGAGTAGAATTTTGACCGGAATATTCTGTCATTCCTCAGCTTCCAAATCACGTGCATGATTGCTGCCCTACATGCTGTAGCAACGTAAGCCCAGCCTTTTCCCAAAACGTCTGCATTTGGGAGGAAACCTTCTATTACGAAGTCCTCATTCCACTGCACCTGGTCTTCCA